TTTTTTGTTTTCAACCCCCCCCCCCCCTTAAAAAAAAAAAAATCGCATCACAAAAAAAAAAAAACTGATGGAGATTAGATCAAGCTAAAATGATTGTTATTGAGCGTTTTATTATTTATTGAATTATAATGTACTCCTCTGTGCTTTTTTCACATTGTAGTTGAACATATACACCCATTAGGATGTTTCTATAAACTGAAATGACTTTATATTTTACCCAGCGCTGGGTTGTATTTAACCCAGCATTTTTTAGAGTGTATGTGATCAAACTTAAAATCTATATATTTATATATTTTTTAAAACTAAATAAAATTACATTTAATTACATTTTTTTAGTGTTTGATTTATCCAGCACAGTGCTACTGGTGAGTGTATATGTCACTTGAAATTTATTCAGTTTTAGACACTTTTACATTCTGATTTAATTATTTCTCAAAATGTTATTTAAATTTTTTTTTTCAAAATGTCTGCACTTGCGTTTCCCTTAAATCATACAAATGAACAGTTGTTTGTGTGAAGTGCTGGTGGTCTGGTGGTCAGAGCTCATGATATGAGAGCAAAGCCAGATGCAGGAGACCAGGGTTTGAATCCTCATCCTGCTGTTGCACTAGATGGTTTTGGGGATTATACCAAAAAAAAAAAACACTTTTCTCCACCTTTTTCTGCTGCTCCTCTTGCTTGCCCCACTTCTCTTCCATCTTCACCCACCTCTCTCCCTTCTCCGTCCACCCTTCATTTCTCTGGTCCATGTTTCTCAGAGTCTTGCCATCATGCCCTTTGACTGCTGTGCAGTCCATCTGTTTTATCACCCCAGGAATTTTTGCTACTTAGTCCGTGTTTCACAGAGCGCTCTCTTTGAGCCTCAGGTATCTACCCTTGCTGTCACCGCCCTTTGTTTGGTGTATCGCCCCAGATACTTTGCTGTTCCCACAGCTTTCTTTCGTTGGTGTGAGCCCCACACACCGAGGTGTGACTTGAACCCATGCCTCTACCGTAACCTATTCCGCAACCAACGTGTGTTTAGCCACTAGTGCCATCATGGCTTTCACACCAAGAGTTGTTGTTTGGGGCACTTTGTTGGATTTAATGACAGCAATTTAACATAAGCAATAGAGGGATTTGAACCCAGGTCTCCAAGATGAAAACACAATGCTTTATCCATTGAGCCACTGAGTCTTTGGAATTGGTGTGCGTTTTGAACGGGTTTAATGGATACCTTAGAGTTGGTTTAAGAACAAAAGCAACAACTGAAAGGACGTTAAAATGGGATATGAACTCAGGTCTCCAAGGTATAAGTGCAATGCTGTTTCAACTGAGCCATTGAGCCTGTGGGGATTTTTTGGGGCTTTGGATGGACTGTTATGGATACCTTTGAGTTATATTAAGTAAAAAGTGGGATTTGTATAGTAGTCTTTGTTGCAGCTAACCTGTGTTAACCACTGCACCATTGTGGCTCTTGCATTTAGAGTTGACGTTTGAAACACCTTGTTGGATGTACAACTGAATGAATGTTAAAGTGGGATTTGAACTCACGACCCCAAGATTAAAACAAATTGCTGTATTTCCTGAGCCACTGAGTTGTGTTAGTCTGAGTTTCATTGAATCGAACTCAGGATTCCTGAATTAAAGTGTAATACTTTGTCACTTGAGCCACTGAATCTGACAAGATGTTTTGGATGGGTTTTTCTTGAGAGCTTTGTGTTATATAATGGAAAACTTTCTGAAATTGATTTATTGAAACCAACAACTCAGCATGTGATTATATGATGTTTGAGTTGGTTCAGACTGATTTTCATTTTAGCTACAGAATTACTTTAAATAAAGTTGCGAACTCAGGCCTCCAGGATTGAAGTGAATTGTTTTAGCATTTGAGAACCAAGAACTGCACATTTGATAGGCAAACAATTAATCACTGAACCACAGAATTTGTGATGTCTGAGTTGATGCAGATGGACTGATTTTCAGTTTAGCTACAGAATTATTTAAAAATAATGATAATAACACAAGCAATAGTGGGAATCGAATTCAGGACTCCACTATTAAATCGCAACACTTTATCAAATGAGCCACTGAATCTGATAAGGTGGCACGTGTTTTAGATGTGATTTTCTTTAAAGCCTTGTGTTATATGGAAAAATGTTTTCAATTGTTGAATTGAAACCAAGAACTCACCATTTGATAGGCAAATGATTAGCCACTGAACCACAGATTTTGTGATGTTTGAGTGGGTTCAGACTGATTTTCATTTTAGATGCAGAGTTACCTAAAAAACAATTTAACATATAAGCCACAGCAGGTTTCGAACTCAGGACTCCAGGATTAAAGCATGCTGCTTTACTACTTGAGCCACTGAGTCTAACAAACAAAGCAAGATGTTTTGGTGGAGTTTTTCTTGAGAGCTTTGTGTTAGCTAGAATAGTTGTGGGATTTGAATCAAGAACTGCACATATGGCAGGCAAATAATTAACCACTGAACCACAGATCATGTGACACTTCTGTTGGTACAGATGGACAGATTTACTTTAAAAAATCAACATAAGCAAAAGTGGAAACCAAACTCAGGACTCCAGGATTAAAGTGCAATGCTTTATCACTTGAGCCACTGAATCTGACAAGGTCTGACAAGGTGCTTTGGATGGGTTTTTCTTGAGAGCTTTGTGTTACATGATGGAAAACTCTTAGCAATTGTGGGATTTGAACTAGGAACACCACAAGTGACAGACAAACAACTAGTCACTAAGCCATAAAGTTTGGGCTAATAGAGTGGGTTCAGATGGTTGGTTTCCAGGTTTGCTACAGCATTACTTAAAACAATTTAACATAAGCAATAGTGAGAATCAAACTCAGAACTCCATGATTAAAACACCACTTTAAAAAAAGTGTTTGTGGATATGTATTTATTTAGTTTTGTTTTACATGCAACAATAGGATTTGAACAAAAAACGAGCATAAAATGCAATATTTTACTTCTTGAGCAACTGAGCTATGCATGGTAAATTCAAGCTTTAAGATTTAGTTTTCTGTTTTTCATATTCAAATATAAAAATAACAAGATTTGAACCAAGACTTTTAAATATAAAAGGCATATAATTATCCTCTGAGGTACAAATTGTTCATATCACGTTTTATGTTTTAGCTTTTGTGATTTTATTCTCTTTTAAATCATTCAATTATTTCCTACACCTTATCATTGTTCATTTATATGCACAGTCACACAAATGGTAAGAACTTTATTAAACTTTATGAAAATTATTTTATATACATAACCTGTAAATAACATAATTTGTTAATTCAAATTAAGTTTATAATGAATATATATGAATTGTGTATCAAAACAGTCCTGACTTTGATTACCTGCTTCAGCTGTTTTCAATCAGGGTTAAAGCTAAACCCAGGTATAAACCAACGCTGAATAAAATCTTTAAAAACTCCAACCTAACGCCCTCTTGTGGTGAATTGACAAATAGAATTACACTGAATAAAATCTTTAAAATCTCCAACCTAACGCCCTCTTGTGGTGAATTGACAAATTGAATTACGCTGAATAAAATCTTTAAAAAACTCCAACCTAACGCCCTCTTGTGGTGAATTGACAAGTTGAATTACGCTGAATAAAATATTTAAAAAACTCCAACCTAACGCCCTCTTGTGGTGAATTGAGAAGTTGAATTACGCTGAATAAAATCTTTAAAAAACTCCAACCTAACGCCCTCTTGTGGTGAATTGACAAGTTGAATTACGCTGAATAAAATATTTAAAAAACTCCAACCTAACGCCCTCTTGTGGTGAATTGAGAAGTTGAATTACGCTGAATAAAATCTTTAAAAAACTCCAACCTAACGCCATCTTGTGGTGAATTGACAAATTGAATTACGCTGAATAAAATCTTAAAAAAACTCCAACCTAACGCCCTCTTGTGGTGAATTGACAAGTTGAATTACGCTGAATAAAATATTTAAAAAACTCCAACCTAACGCCCTCTTGTGTTGAATTGACAAGTTGAATTACGCTGAATAAAATCTTTAAAAAACCTAAACTGAACGCCCTCTTTTGGTGGATTGACAATATAAACATTTTAATGAGCCACTCCCACAGAAGGCCTTGAGTTGTGTCACTGACTGAAAACTTTAAAAACAACTGAGCGCCCTCCTGTGGTGAATTGACAAGTTGAATTATGCTGACTAAAATATATATATATAAAAAAAACTTCAACTGAACGCCCTCTTGTGGTGAATTGACAAGTAGAATTACACTGAATAAAATCTTTAAAATCTCCAACCTAACGCCCTCTTGTGGTGAATTGACAAGTAGAATTACACTGAATAAAATCTTTAAAATCTCCAACCTAACGCCCTCTTGTGGTGAATTGACAAGTTGAATTACACTGAATAAAATCTTTTAAAAACTTCAACTGAATGCCCTCGTGGTGAATTGACAATATAATAATTTTTAATGATCCACAACTGCACATTTAAAGAATTTATGCCAAACAAATCAATCACGGCTGCTTTAACGGAACATTGATTTCTACAATGGAAACATTAAATCAGAATCTATATTATAGAACCACATAATTTACACTAACACGAATGACAAAGAAATATATTCTTTATTAACTACAAATGACAGCATTTAACCCACAGCTTGAACTCATGTTTTATGATCCTGAAGACAAAATCAAATAACCGTTTAAAACAACATTATGAAACACTAATTTGTACTCCAACATACATGACCCTTAACATTTCAGACCCAATACACAATGATGGTGACACTCAAAATTACACAAAGTAAGAAATGCTCTCTAACATCATTGCATGACACACAACTGAAAGAAACAACAAACACAACATTTCTAATGTGAATAATGAGTCAAATTATGTAGCAATTTACAGTTAAAAAAAAACAGTGAAGCACTTATTTTTTTGGCCCTTTTAGGTGCTCTGTGTGTCTGCCTTTATTCACACTCCTGGAAAATAAAACCACAACAGGATTTTGTCATGGCTAGATGGTAACCTTCATCCTGTGTAACTGCTGATATATGTAAGACACATGATGGCGCTGTTAGTTTCATAGTGTTTCCTACACCGTAAATATGCCACCTATGAGGTTTTCAATTGTGGTATTGCCATACAATTAGTGAAGAGGGAATCTATTTCTGCATTCATCTTTTATGAGAGCCATTGATGTTAATCATATTAGCATGTACTTAATAGACACCTAATTAAGGATACATATGGTCAAAGTTAGACGACATTTTAACATTAAAATTAATTATATTGTATTTTAAAAGTTCTAGTGCCTGGAAGCTTCATTAAGGTCACCAAACATCATTAGTATAACCTAATCAATATTCATGAGCATATCCATTCCATATTTTACTGGTTTCTTATATCTTTTTATGTCAAATATATTAAGTGCAAAATTCTGCATTGTATAAAGGCAGATATTATTAACAGACATTAACATTCAAATCAGCCAAATGGATTAGGGTCCAACAATTAATTCAAAAACGGAATATGAGCAAGTTACTTGCACATTAAGCACACAAACTGAACATTATGAAATGATCCTCATTCATATAATGTGTTTATATCAGTCTTGCACAGTTTATTATGTCTTATGTCTAGGTTTTAAGAAAGCAAACTGTGTGCTTGCACCATGTGTGTTTGTGAGCCGCTACACTTGAACTCAAATCCTCTTGCCATGTCAAAGTGACCTGCATTCTCAGGGTGTCAAGAGAAAGCGGGTCAACACTAAATATATCCTCCAGACCTGTGAAAAAAACAAAGTCAGTCTGTGTTTTGCAACGCTGTGAGGTGCATGTCATTTCTTCCTATAGTTGATCAAAATCTCTCAGGACGGATTCACAGTGAAAACTGGAAATCCGTGTCAGTTTCATAATCAAGTTTTCATTGCGATTGGAGTTTTGTTCATGCGTGTGTCTTTTCGAGTTTTGAAACACAATGGACTACATGGAACAAATGGATGAAGATCAGCTCATTGACTTCGTTATTCAAATGAGCCTCCAAGATGCTCGCAGTCTTTCTGTTTTGAACCACCCGCTAAGGTATGCGCAGTATTTTACTTATTTCAACATACTTATATATAAAAAAGATATGTGTTAGTCTAACACATTCTCTCGCGCAGCCCTTTAGAAACAGCTAGTGATGAAAACCTCAAGATTGTATCTGCTATAGATCAAGGTAATTCATACGCGTGCCTAAATAGCAATGCTCTGTTTTGGTTGCCCAATGGCTTGATATTTTGCATACGTGTGTGTAATATTATCCAGGTGATGTGTTTGCACTGAGGCAACTGCAAAAATACAGTGATGCCTATAAGGAAGAAGACAGCAAAGGTTGGCTTCCGATGCACAGAGCGTCAGTCCAGCCGGATGCCCATGTGTTGGATAGCGTCCTCCTGGGTGAGCAGACACAACATGCCTAAGTTAAAATGCAAACAAATGAGTGACAACAAATTAGATATGCTAATAAGGCATTTGCTGTGCAACTTTTTTCTCGAATAGCATCCTACGAGCTGAGCATGGAGGAGATGACGGCCGACGGAGACACCGCTTTGACTCTAGCTTGTCAAGCAGGACATGTGGAGAACGTGAAGGTTCTTCTCCAACACAGAGCATCTCCACACAACATGAACCACAGGAATGAGACTCCACTTCTCCTGGGTATTACAACAAAACAACACCAAATAGTCATCAAATGAGTCTTGCCTTCTGTTGGAGCTCTCAATCAGAAGTTACTTACAATTTCATTACTTCCATCATGGTTTTGTACAAGTATATGAAAATGTGGCATAGCTTATCACTGTTTCAGGTTTAGCATTAGTTCTTACACTAGGTTTCAGGATCATATTCCTACGTTTCCTTTTGCAGCTGTGAGGGCAAACTCGTATGATATGGTTCATGCACTGATAATGGGAGGCGCCTCCGTGCAGCAGGTTTGTTTGAAGAAATGGACGGTCACCCATGAGGCTGCTAAAGTGGGTTGCATGGACATCCTGATGCTGCTGCTGAGACACAGGGGGAAGGCCATGGGACGGGATGGTCATGGGGTCACACCGCTGGGCATCGCCGCAGAGTACGGCCATCCGGAAATACTGGAAATCCTTATCGAACATGGTAAGTCAGGTGTATGCAAGTCTAAATAACTCTAGATCCGTCCCTAATGTAAATGATAAATTACATTGATTACAATTGACTAGAACACAGAGGAACAATAGAGTTGGAATCATTTTCATAATTTTTTCCCCCAGTTATTGAACAATGAAATCATTGACAGCCAATCAGAAAAAAAAATTATAATCACTTTTTCTGGTCAAAATATATTACAAATGAATGCTAATATGGGTTCGGGCCACAATTCAGAGCTCGGAGCCCTCCCCTCGGACAGCACACCAAATACGCATAAGCTTTAAGTGTGAACTCGTGAAAGAAGGTAAGTCACAGATGGTCATTACTGAAAGGGTTGGCTGTTCACAGAGTGCTGTACACAAGCAACAGGGATGACCACAAGCTTGAGAATACTGTCAAGCAAAGCCGATTCAAACACTAGGGAGAGCTTCACAAGGAGTGAACTGAAGCTGGAGTCAGTGCATCAAGAGTCACCACGCTCAGACGTCTTCAGGAAAAGGGCT